TGGTGATGAGGAAGCCGAGGATGCCATCCTCGAGGTCGAGACCATGCCGGGCGTGGTCTGCAGGAGGTTCTCGAGACCGATCGAGAGGGTGGGGCTCTACGTGCCCGGTGGAACCGCCGTCCTTCCATCGACGGCGCTCATGTTGGGGATCCCGGCTCAGGTGGCAAAGTGCTCGACCAAGGTGATCGCGACGCCACCTCGACCAGACGGCTCGATCGCGCCAGAGGTGCTTTACGTCGCCGACAAGGTTGGCGCTACTCACCTTCTCTGCGCTGGGGGAGCCCAGGCGGTGGGGGCCATGGCGTACGGAACCGAGACGTGTCCCAAGGTGGACAAGATCGCTGGCCCAGGTAACCAGTTCGTCACGGCTGCCAAGATGATCGTCCAGAACGAGACCGATACCCTGGTCAGCATCGACATGCCAGCCGGACCTTCCGAAGTATTGGTCATCGCCGATGGGGAGGCAGACCCTGCCTTCGTGGCCTCCGACCTGCTCTCGCAAGCCGAACACGGCCCTGACTCTCAGGTGGTCCTCGTCGGGATCGACCTGAGTGACGACCAGCTCCTGGCCATCGAGAAAGAGGTCGACTCTCAGGCTAGGAGGCTTCCCAGAGTCGACATTGTCCGCCAGGCGATCGACAAGTCGGTCACCGTCATCACAAAGACCAGGGAAGAGGCCATGGACTGGTCCAACGACTACGCCCCAGAGCACCTCATCATCCAGACCCAGTATCCCGAGGAGATGGTCAACAAGGTCAAGAACGCCGGCTCCGTCTTTGTAGGCGCCTTCACCCCAGAAAGGTAAGTTCCCCTAATACCCCCCCCCCCCCCCCCCCCCCCCCCCCCCCCCCCCCCCCCCCCCCCCCCCCCCCCCCCCCCCCCCCCGGGTCTCTTCCACCCTTGACGATTCGCAGAGGTGGAGGCCACCCGCACGAATTCGCAGAGTTTCCCCCCTCCCCCTGTTGGCACCCTTTTTTTGTGGGCAAGGAAGTTATAGAAGAGGGATTATGAGCCAGAGTGTCCACTGACCAACGACACAACCTTTCTCCCGACGCTCACTTAATCCTAAACTTACCCCAGTTGCGGAGACCTCGCGAGTGGAACTAACCACGTGCTTCCGACATACGGCTTCGCAAGGACCTACTCTGGAGTCTCGGTCTCGACCTTCCAGAAAAACATCACCTCCCAGCAGATCTCGACCTCGGGCCTCGGTCTCCTTGGACCTCACGTCGTCAACATGGCCGAGTGCGAAGGACTCGAGGCTCACGCCAACGCTGTCAGGGTCAGGTTGCAGAAGCTCTCCTCCTCCTCCTCCGCTTGATGGGTCAGGCTCGGAACACGATTCCGTTACTAGACTTTTCACGGCCCAAGCTTTTTCTACTTTCCATGCTCTTTTCTGTTTTTTTTTTCTTCTTCCTCCTATCGTTTATCATTTCTGGAGAACAGAAATCCGAATGCAGTACGCCTAACTAAAGATAAGGATGAAAGAATCGGATGTTGTGAGACGTGGACCCAAACCAGCTCAGATGAGGCATGGATCTCTACCGCTTGTTAAGACTTCCTCCCCCACTTTTGCTCTTCCTTGCGCTCTGCAATATACTCCCTGTTGATATCGATTCAGAGCTCCGCGCTCGACTACAGCTGTGCACGTTCCCTTCTTTCGTCAAGTGGATGGGTTTGGGGAGTTCGGATTCAGTGATGGCCTGGTAGTTTCCTCTAGGCAAAAGCGCACGCCATGTAACAAGGGTCATCTTCAGCGTCGCTGAGTTGAACCGAACACGCCGTCCAAGATTTCAATCCGTGAGGAGTAGGCTTACTGACCTGGTGGCCTCTACCTCAACTGCAACTCTACGGTTGTGTCTCGACTCTCGCTCCCAGAGAAAGACGGGTAGCATGGCTTGAAGCATCCACGTTTGGCGACGCTGACGTCATCGCTGGAGTGGGGACGGACTTTTGATGTGCGGGAAGCACAGTGAACGCTGTGATTGAAAAGGACGACAGTGTTCCTCATCAGTAGCAGGAGATGAGACCAGAGCCCGAACGTAATTCCTGTCTTCTGGCTTTCAGACGTGGTAGATGAGGTATCACACCATTTACTCAGGATTTTTTTTTTTAGTTTTTTCTCCTTTCCTGGTGTTTGCCATGGAGAAGAAGAAAGAAAGAAAGAAAAAAGAAGAGTTCTTGCTCTCTGCATGGGAACTACAGTCCCCACCTTGCTTTCCCTTCAACTGCGGAGTTCCCACCTCGAGATGAATTGGAGGACTTCCTCTTTCTTGCTTTTCTTCCTTTCTTTTGACCTCGAAGCGAATCCTCAAGCTCCGATCCTGCTCCACAAACCTTTGGACGATTTGGAATTACGAGAGAGAGGAGCCCAAGATCCTTTGGATATCCAGCTCCAGCCAGTCTCGATCGATCGGTTTCCCTCCAAGTTTGTTAAAAGAGGAATCCTTTCTTTGTTCGCCTTTCGGTCCGTCGCTTGATCTTGAACCTTACTCTCGGATGACGAAGCGATCGAGGGTATCCCTGACTCAAGACTTGGGGTTCATGCTTGGCACAGAGGCCTCTGTGCTTCTTAGGAACCGAGGAAGTGCTCCCCCTCCGGTATTCTGGACGGGCTGGATGGAACTTGAACCCATCTCAAGTCTTTCACTCCCGATCCGATCCTCGGCGCAAGAGACGAATGGTGTGCTGCTGGGGGTATCATGTGGCACACCTGTTCATCCATCGGGGTTAAACTGGCGACCGCATCCATACATCTCAACCCTTCTTTGGCCTCAACTCGGCCAATCGTTCCTCTGTGACTGCGAATTGGATCTTGAGATGATCGTGTGGATTCCCTTTGTTCATTTTTTATTTCTTCCTTGTTGAGTAATCTTTTCAAAGTTTCCTGGTTTGGGCCAGCATCCCACCTCTCAGCCTTCCTTCCTTCCCCATGGCTTCTTTATGCGATTGTATGCTCCAAAATGGAAGGCAGGCTTCGATCGTTGCCCAAGGTAAGGTCGGCGAACCCAGGCGCATGTGTTGCGAGTGTTGGGAGGCCTTTCGTGCTTTGCCAGCCGACCGGATGAGCTATCGCCAACCAAAGCAAGCTGGTGGCCTCCTACTTCGCCACCATCAGCTCGGCCGCCAACACTTCTTTTCACCTCGATATAGTCTCTCCCTTTCTATTGGCTGGTCCGAGTCTCCTCCGCTTATCCCAAGTCGCCAACCCTTCTTTCTCTCGAGTTACCTTGCTCAAGAAACAAAGGGAGCGGGAAGGAGGAAATAAAGGAAGCGACCAAGAGAGGAAGAAGGGAAGAGGGAGATACGAGGAAAAGGGGGGAAAGAAGGAAGAATAAAACTACAGAAAGCAAGAAGCCGTTTCGAACATGATTTCGAGTTTCATCTCCTTGGCCATCCTCAACATTTTTCTTGTTCTTGGTCTGCCGCTAATCGTTTCGACTAGCATCTTGTTCCAGGCTCCGCGAGACGCTCCCTTCTCGGTGGCAGAGCCTCTCCTCTCTGCATCCCTAGTTTGCCCAAACGGGATCCAGCGCCTTGCAGGGGGTATCGTGTTGCTCGTTCATGGTACTGGAGCGACCGGAGACCAAAGTTGGCCCGCCACTCCGTTCCTACACCTCCTCCCTGCGATGAGGCCCGGTTTCGACGTCTGCTACATCAACATCCCAGGGAGATCTCAGGGAGATATCCAGCTCTCCTCCGAGTACGTTGCCTACAATATCATGAGGCTCGCCGAAAAGTCGGTCACACGCAACGTTAGCGTCATCGGTCACTCCCAAGGAAATCTCAACATCCAGTGGGCCCTCACCTTTTGGCCTTCGATCCGCCCTCTTATCCAAGATTACATCGCTGTTGCTGCCGACTTTCATGGCACCCTCGAAGGTTCTCTTGCGTGCACCCTTGTCCGCCTCCGCGAAGAAGGATGTACCGCCGCCCTCCTTCAGCAAACTTCCGGTTCAAACTTTCTCAAAGCACTGCTGGCCAGAGGAGACAAGGCTCTGGTCACTACCACGTCCATCTACACTTTGACCGATGATGTGATTCAAAATGAGGTGGGACCCAACGCCACTTCGATCCTCCCTGGCGCTGCCAACTACTTCTTGCAGCAGATCAAAATCTGTGGACCTTCCCATGTTGAAGGTCACATCTCTGTCCTCTTCGACCCTGCCGTGTTCCATCTCGCCTTCGACGCTATTACCCACGTTGGTCCGGCTTCTCTTGAAAGATTCGACCGCAGGAACTGCTTCGGGTTCCTCTACGGGGTCGGCCCTAAGCGCACCGCTTTCCAAGAGGCTCTGGCCTTGACCAAAGCCATCTTTCAAGTCGGACTGAGCTTTTTCGTCGAGCCCGTGCTTGATCGAGAACCGCCCTTGAAGCCTTACGCAGTGAGCCACAGCCTCACCATGGCTCCAGCGTAAGTATCGCTCACTTCAAGCATGCGCCCTTTTTCAGATTAGTCAAAAGCCTCCCCCCCCCCCTTGCCCCCATGCCCCCCTGACACATTGCAAACTACCTCGCTCGTCTCGCCACACGACAAGCCCAAGTCATTCTCCCCTTCCCTCCAACGAGCCTTTCGATTGCAGATGCTCAATAGCATAAAGTATCAACCGCATTGAAGCTTCCAAAAAAAACCCATTTCCGTCCCGATCGCACTTGGTCTACCAGCGTCAGTGTAGATGGCGATTGAGACGAAAACTGAGACGAGATTGTAAACCATTGAGATTGGCTCTTGATCCAGCCTTGCGGGCTTCTGCCCAAAGGGTCGATCACCTTCCCTCGTCCCGTCCATACTTTGGACTGAGCCTTTACCGAATCTATGAAGAGGGACGGTATCCTTTTTTTAATGGCTGCATGCGAGGTAGGGTCGGACGAACGAGCAAAATTCGGGATGGTCCGCCAAAAATGTGAAGAGACCTTGCATTCCAACAAGAAATTGAGTGAACGGGAAGCGGTAGCTTTGTACGATGATAATGACATTTCGCTCGCCATCATACTACCAGTCCTTGTTAGTACAATGGCTAGTATAGGGCACTCTCATCTCGCTGTGACTGCTCAGATCGGGGTTCAATTCCCCGGCAGGGAACTACATTTTTTCTATTCTAATTTTTTCCTTTACAATAAATGCCTTTCATTATATGTGTTTATATACTCACAATTCGGCCTGATGGAGAACAAGTCCTTGTTAGTACAATGGCTAGTATAGGGCACTCTCACTTTTCTTCTCGCGAAGAAGCGTACTGCTCAGATCGGGGTTCAATTCCCCGGCAGGGAATCATTTTTTTGGCTTCGTAGACATTTGGGACTCACTTGTCGACAATTTTCTCAGAACTTGTGTTTCAGCATTGCCTTTTCCTGGCAGATCAATCTTGACAATGGAAAGATCGGAAGGGGCTGGATTTGTTTCTCAGGAGAAACCCCACTTGGTTGGCAAGGGAAGTGGTACACATCCACTATTTCCTCAGCTAGCCGGTTCTGAGTGAGTGGGTTGGATGCGAATCTTCTTTAGAGGCAGCGAGGTTCCACACTCGTCCCGTTGATTTCGCCAACGTTCGTTTTACGATGGAGAGAGGGGGTCGCTAAAGCCGATCTTCCCCCTTTTGTTTTTGTTCCTTTATTCATTTCTTTCTTTTTTCCTTTTCGAATGTGAAGTGGTGATTGATGGTCTCAAGACAGAATTTCGGGAATCTCGGAGAAGAACGCGAACATGACCACCCACCACCCCCTCCTCCTGTATCACGCCAGTGGTGGCGATGGCTTTCTGATCTCGGACCGACTAATCCAGTCCGGTCAAGGAGACAGGATGGGGGGGAAGAAAGAATTGGAGATAGGATTGTTTCCATTTGGACCGATTCGGCCCACGACGGTGAGCTAGCTCAAGCACGGTGGAAAGGAGGTGGAAAGGGATGTGAGAGGGGGAAAGGTTGGGGGGCGAGGGACACTGTCCGCTCTCAGCTCGGATTCCGAGTAGACCGAAAGGAATGACCCGGCTTGTGAGACTCCCCCCCTCCCCGGTCCCCATTTCGTTCCTTCTCCCTTTTGTTTGTTAAGACCGAAAACTCGATGGAAGAGCACCCTTGGGTCGCTTCCCGTCTCGTTGTCTTTCCGGGTGAGGGAGGTTCGGAGGACGAAAAAAATTCGAGTTGAAGAAAACAAGGTAAGAGTCAGACTTGGGTTGGGAGGCTGTCATGTGAGCCAGAAAATCGCCATAGATAGGCGGATTCCGTGTGCTTCCTTCTCCGCCATGTCGTGAGGGAGAGGAGAGGTGGGGAGGGGGTCCTGGGAATGCGTCAATGCGTGTGGGGTAATTCCGGGGAAGGTAGAGGTCCTCTCGCGTGCGTGTGTGTGATCGTCTTGTTCTCTTGGGTTGCCGTGGAACGGGGGGGATCGAAGATAGGTCCCCTCCCATTGATCCGGTGGGTTACCGTTCTCAGGCCGGTCGGTTGTTGCAAGTGAGAGGGTGAGCCCGTTGAGCCGAGGTCCATCTAATCCAACCCCCTTCGAATGGATTGAGGATCATTTATCATCCTCATCATCATCATCATCATCATCATTCTCACTCGCCCTTCTGACCTCGTCCATCAGTTGGATCGGTAATTTTATCCATCGTCGAACAGCTCATCCCCTCATCAAACTCGGCTTCCCCACGTCAACGGGGGGCGATTCCTTCCTCATGTTATCCTTCCCCGCACTCCTCCTCTAAAAGTTCGGTACACACCCTTTTTCCAACTTCCATACTCCCCCCAGGGTCGGACCGGAGAGGGAGGATGGGGAGGGTGATACCAGATGGAAGGGTAAAAGAGTCTGGGTGAATACCCGAGAGATGACGACCAAGACAGAAAAAAAAAGACCTGTGAACATGGATCACACAACCCCCTTTCCTCTGCAAGGTTTTGGGTCCACAATCCATCCACCCATAGGATGATGATGTTGTAGTAAGACTGCACAGGATGCAGTGCGTACATGCAGTGGAAACAATCAGGTGAATCGCAGGTGTACATACTGTACGCTCCTACTCGGCCTGTCGAGCGAAAGCGTGTGGGGCTCCACGAGGGATCATCTCACTTTCTTTCTCATTCCCCTTCCCCCACCCCACCCTCCAATCCCATCCGGTTCGGTGACAAAACGAATGGACGAGGTGTGGATGCGATGGTAGTGCCTGCTTTGAATACGCACCGATGATTCCAATTCGATTCATCGTCGTTCGAGCTCCTTTCCCGGCCAAAGGAGAGAGGTCTCCTCTGTTTGCCTTCCCTCGTCGCTCGCTTGGCGAGTCCCGCCCACCCTTTCACCGGCGAAGCGCCCGGCAGGGGGATGATGGGGTGTATGCGGTGGACAGAGATGGTGAGAGGCAGAAGAGAGCAAGTGGGAGATGATCCCTTTTCTTTCAAACCACCAACTAGGGTGCGATCACCTAGCTCAGCTGTTCCGATCCGGTCCGGACCAACATCCTTGCGGAAGATAAGGGGGGCTTGATGGCAGTGGGGGGCGGTAGCATTAGAAAAAGGTGCCAAGGTTGTCCCGATCGAAAAGTATTGGAGTTGGTTTAAGCTTGATTCATGTCATCGAATACAAACGACTCACGATCGAGGTCACGGGAATCAGAGTCAGAAGTTGTTCAAAGACAAGGGAATCATGCAGATCTGGAATCGAGATCGGGTCTGTCTCTCTTCCCCTCACCGCTGCACTTTGGCTCGTTTGGGTTTCGTTGGGTCTGTTCAATAGAAGAGTCACGAATGTTAATGTGGACTCGAGTCGAATCTCTGGCCTCGGCTACAAATGCCACGGAAGAAATCACGGAAGAGGATAAACAAACTTTCTCTCCGAACGTCTTCCCACTTTGGATTCCAAGGATCCACCTCGAAACTCGTCTCCTTCGTTTGGTTGGTTTCCTCAGGTTTCGGCTCGCTTCCTTGCCTTTCGACTCTTTCTTTTTTCCCCTTTCCTTCTCCTTCTACCCCTTTTCCCTTTGCCTTTCCCTTTCTATTTCCATGGGTTGGGGTGCGTGGGCAGGTGGGTCCTTATTGCCTCGCCTCTCGCTCTTGACTTTGACTTTAGATGATCAATCTTGGACTCCTGGATTGTATACGGATGGATCGCGAGGTGACAAGACAAGATCGGATTCGAATCCCACCTCGTGCAACTAAGACAGAACGGATGAGTTCTATCGTTCACGATTGTTACCACTACGACTCGAATTGGAATGTTGAATTGTTTCTCCCTCCCCTTCCCTCCGAACTCCCCCCCTTGGCTTGGCTTCTTCTCTTCATCCAACCGAGGAGGAGCCGTCTCGCCGCTCGCCTCTTCCCCCTCCCCACCCAAACCCTCACCACACACGAACACCCTACTCCTCTTTCAAAGCGATCACAGGAGATACTGTTGGATTCTGCTGCTGTATGCAGTTTCGCATCCCAACTCTGCAACTCACAAGCACCTCTCCAATCCCCAAAGAACCAGACCAGAAAGAACACGACCCGTTCCCAAGCGCTTACACGGGGTCGGCAGGGGCTTGTGAGTGGGGGGGGGGGGGTCAAGCTCTGGTGAGCTTGACAACCAAGAAGAAGGCGCCTAGCTGGGGAAACAGGATTTATCGATTTGTAAGGTCGGGGGGGGGGGGAGGGAAAGCGAGAGAGATTCAACTCCCTCAAACCTCAGTGTGTCCACACAGCGCATGGCAGGTGGACCCAGGTAACTGCAGCACTACTCAAGACACGATTCGAGCCGATCCAGACCCGCATGAAACTCCCAACCTCATTCTCTCCCCAGCCAGATGGATATCCATGTTTCCATGCACCCCGCAAAGAAAAAAAAGGAAAATTTGACGGTGCCCAGCGAAGGGGGCAGGGGGGGG